AGAGACAACACAGGGGCAGTGCTCTGATCCAGCCTGACCACCTCTCTATTCCGGCTACTGGCTGATTTCTTACCTATTCAGAAAAAGTTTCATCAATTTTTTGTTTCTTGACACATACTGGGATTCAAGGACTCAGTGGCACTCCTCTTTGGGTAGATGATGGTGTAGGAGGTAGCTCAGCTCACCAGCACATGGCCTCAGCTCACAGGCACATGGCGATCCCAGTGGTTCAAATGTTGTAAGAGGAGTTCGGGGATTTTTCTTAATACTTGAAAAAAATCACTCTGATATTGTATGTTGCCTTCTGACTGCACAGTGAAGTTGGATCCCCACCACACACTAAACTAGCAGTGAAATTTTTGCTCTAGCTATTATGTATGAGTTTGGGAAGTGTCAATCACCTGCAGCTCCCAGCTGGGAGCAGTATATGTGTATTGCTACTTAGGGTTTAGCTTCCAGTCCTTTACAGATTAGGTGTGAGATCTGTGGAAATGAAGTTCTGGTGAGCACTGTGGGTGAGGTGATTTTTATGGGCTTTTCCTAATTGACCCAAACCAACCATGTACACCAACACCATGTAGCTGCTACTGAGACAAAAGATCTAACTTGCTGTTGTTCCAACAGCCCTGTAAGGGTGCCTGCACAGAGCGGGTCTGGACCCAACAGGTGAATGCAGACCTCTTGTGTAAATGCAAGATACTTTGACATTGGACTGGAAAATAGCTATAGTTTAAGGCACATCTTGAGCAGACACACCTCCCATGCCTTCCTTCAAGGATCAGCTCTCCATCTCCCCTGGTCTCCAGTTTGGATCCTGCTCTTTATAGCACTGTTTAGAGGCTACTGCTTATGCCTTTCAAAGGACCTGTTTTTCTGGCAGGGTGAAGAGATTGCTGGACACAACCAGAATTCTTCTCTGAATATCCTGAAGGCTTTCAAACAAGTTGGTGCATTTTAGAATTTTACTAGCAGTTTCAGGGCACAAAATAAAAGGCTTTGTGGACACAAGATGAAATCTTCCACTAAAAAATACTACTTTAACAAGGAAAGTGAATGAACTGGATGGCCCAGTTATATTGCCAGAAGCCAGCATTAAGGAGTGCTGTATAATCTTCTAAGAGACTGCTTTTTCCTCATAGCTCAGCCAGATGGGCCAGTGGAGGGATGAAGGCTTTTCACAGGAAAGTTCAGCTGATCTGGGAAAAGAAGGAAGAATGATGCATGACAGTTCTACAGGTAGCTGCTACCTGGAACAATGTTCTGGTTGAAAATACTGCTTAATCAGGCTAGAAGCGAAATACCTATCTTGACAGCAGAGATGAGGAGCATTGCACATTTTCTGTTATCGCACAGCTTTGTTACACAAAACAGAGCTCCCACTGTCGCAATCTGGATTGTGTATTTCAAAACATTAATCAAGGATTAGTCCTTGGTGCTGATTTATGAGAAAATACCAATGCCACAGAGGATTTCTAACCCATGTAAATGATTCATGGAGTACATGTTTTATGAGATGGGTCTTCAGTGCACGTAAACTGGAGCATGGCCTTGATGCACACGCAGCGGTGTGTACTTCCTAGGCTGCCTTGGAAAAGAAACGTCCCGGGAGAGTCCCACTGGGATTCCTCCTGCCCCTCCTCCCACTCCCACACCTGATGAGTGGGCTCTGGGAGAGCCACCCCTCTCGGGGGAAGAAGCCGTAGCCCAGACCTGGGCTGTGGTGGTGTCTCCTGTAATACTAGTGTAGTCCTGTAGAGGGAATGCTTTGGTAAGACTTCAATGAGGCAGTGTATCGCCGTGTTATACTAGAGACCAAATTCATCCTTTGTGTCACCTGCTGAGTTCAGGAGTTAACATCAAGAGTAATTTTACCCAGTGGGTTGCTGTTTTTCTAAAATTCTTATCATGCTATAATTCGCTTTAAAATTTCATTCCCTGACTGAAGGGGGTGGAAGTGTCCATTTGATTCATTGCAAGGGATGGGCTTTGATGCTGTCTTACATGGGCATCAAAAGCTTAAGATGACATGCATATTAAAAGTGCTTTTCAGTGGCAGCTTGCAGAAGGCCCCATGGCCAGATGTAGCAAAAGGGAATCTGTAGTGTTGTTTACCAACTTCTCCTATGCTTCATCTTATATCAGCACTGGCAAATCATAACGCTTTCTGAATGCCAGGAAATGGGTTCACTCAAACTAAAATCACAAATCCATCAAAATACTCTGATGTTATGTATTATTTCTGTTGATTAAAAATCTGCATGCAACACTGAGTTTGCTATTGATCATGAAACTGTGCACTGACCTAGTCCTTTCCCTCCAAGGTATCAAGGCACTTAAAAACTTAGCTCATCCTAGCCCTTGGTTCCACTGTGCCCATAGATCATCTGGGCCACAGACACTTTCTGATACTTCCAAGTTTTGCCCCTCTTCTCTAGCATGGCTGCCTTGTCTTTCCAAGATGAAGGGATTTTCCTCTACTGCAATGCAAGGGAAGGGAGGGAAGCCTTGAAGGGAAGATGGAGCAGAATGGGTGACAATACATGGTGTCCACCCAATTCAGGTCTCACTCACTCAAACCCACTGACCCCATCTTGCTGTCTTCCTTGCTGATGGAGGAGTCTTTCACTGGGTATTCATCAGGACTAGATGCCATCTGGACACCCGGCAGCTTCAGTGCCACCTCTAGAGCGTACAGGCTTCTGAATGCCCAAGCACAGCAGGTCACCATGCTTCAACAGTCACCTGGACACCAGAATGACAGCAAACCCCTTGTGGATGGCAGCAGGGTGGATCTGTGCCATTAACATTTCTGAAAGCACAGACATACCCACCAAGTACTGAAAGCAAGTCTTAATCATCACAGGGACTTCCTCTGTGGATATTAATAATCTCCTCGCTTCCTCTGAGGAGCCCCCGTCTGCTGGGCTCAGTTTCTGCAGAAGCATCCAAAAAGCTCAAACTCTGAAAGGTTTCATATAGAAAAAACAGCTTTTCTTGGGAAAAAGATGAAGTAAACATCAGGCAGGATCAGCAATATGCTGCCTGGGCCAGGCACTGCCATGGCATAGCTGCACCTGTGTCTGTGGTGCAGCCCTGGAGGCTTCTCCTCCCCTGCTGACTTCAGCCAGCGATAAACAATTGCTCTGCAGGGTCCCCCTGCTCTGCTCCCCCTTCCCCCAGCCACCAACTGGGAATCTGCTAGTCAGATCAGTGCTTGGGAGGGTCTGGGAGAAGCACTTTCCGCTTCCTGTGGGGAAGGATGTGATTAAAGCCTTGTAAATAAAAGGCTTGGCTTAGAAAATGCCTGGGTGACTTCAAGACATGATGCAGCGCCCCGTTACACAGGGTGGTACCTTCTGGTGGCCCAGCTCAGGGTGGTGAGAAGCAGGAGGTGGGGCACAGCCTGATCCCACACCACGCTGGCCATGGCCTGTCTGGGACTTGTCAGAGGGGTCCCAGACCCCAGGAGCAGTGACCTCTCAGCACAGACACCTGCTTGTTTCTGTGTCCTGAGGGCTGACTCTGCTGCTGAGGTGGCAACCTCAGGAGAGGCTGACCAGCCATGGTCGGGACTGCACCTTCTGGAGAGCTGCCACCTAGGTGGGCACCCAGGTCTGAGCACAGCTGGTCTGGGGTGGCCCCTACTTTACCTGCTTGGAGCGATCACCCCTGAAGGGAGCAAAGGGGCCTTGCTGCTGGCTTGCACAACATGATTCCCTCCTCTCTGGGGAACTACCTTGGTATGTGCTAGAAGAGTACTGTCCTCCACATCTTCATGTCTGTATGGCGTGTTACCAGGGATCTATCACCTTCAAATCCCACATGAACTAGTGTCCATGCTCTGCCCTAAGCTCCTCTTACACTTTTGATAATAGAAATAACAGCTACTCTGGGAGAAGAGAAGCGCCAACAGTGCCCATGGAGGGGATGAACTCCCCCAGGAGCAGGGAAGTCCTGCTGTTCTCCTCCAGCAGGGAACAGGCAGCTGTCTTGTTTGCAAAGAGTCTGTCCACACACAGAGTCGTGCAGAAAAACATCTAAGAAACTGCAGCTTTACTGACTGAGATTTAGGAAGATAACACCAAAAGGCAGAAGTTGCAATTCTCCATCTCTCTCTGTTCTGATGTTTCCTCCATGCACAGGCCATCTGCTCTGCACCCCATGCTCTGGCATCGTATTTAATGTTTATAGTTAGAGGGTGTCTTGATCAGCTTTCCAGTGTTTTCAGAAACCTAAAGTTGCACAGGGTTAACCCTGGAGTCAAATAATTTGCTGAGGTTTCTGAGGAACACATAGCTGGTGATTCCCTGGGGTTTTTTAAGGGTACTCATGCAGGACATAGCTGGCAACACTGGTGCATCTTTCATTTTTACAAGGCGATACTGGCCAAAAGCAGCTTACAGAGATAACATAGCTCGAGGAGAAGTGCATTGGACTAAAAGTCAGGGGATACGATGCAAGGATGTGGGAAATCTGCCTACATGTTGGCTAGGAAATCCACTTTATGAACTTTCTGTATCCTTTATGGGGTTCTGTCCGATGTGTGCAGGAGTGATGCTGGCACACCTGGTAAAGACCTCCAGGACTCAGGCAGATTTTTACCAAGGAATAAGCAGTATCTGCGTCTTCAGGGCAGTTTCTCCCGACACCTCCGAGGTCTGAAGGAATACTCCGGCCCCGGAGCAGGGAGACGGCAGGGATGCTGGAGCCGGCTCCTTCAACCCGCAGGCTCCGGCCGAGCGGGAGGGACCCGGGGACAAAGGCGGCCGCCCTAAGGGGAGGGCGGGCAGCCGGGCAGAGCGGAGCGGGGCCGGGCCCCGGTGACAAGGCCCGTGGCAGGAGGGGGCTGCAGCGGAGATGCCCCGGGAGATCCCGCTCCGCTCCCGGCCCGAGCCTCCCGCCCGCGGCCCCAGGTCCC